GGAACCAGTCCCAACATCTAGTGGCTTATCTGCAAACCAAGCTCCTCCCTTCTGGCTTTGGGGTTGGCTGAGGGTAGGCCTTCCGGTGATCGACTTCCGTTACTTGCTGCTGGGGTTGGGAGCCTCCGGGGTCGCTGAAGGTGAGTGGGGTTTGAGGTATCGGGTCCCAGTGCGTCCCTTTTCTCTGTGGCGTCTAAGGCTGGCGCTGGGCTTTGCCGCACCCCCTCCGAGGACACCGTCCCTCTGGTTCCCCTGCTAGCGCTCCGAGTGTTGCTGCTACCGCTTTGCTCCGCTCTGCCTTTCCCTCCCTTCCCCTGGTCGCGAGGTCGCAGGGCCTGGCTGTGACCCCGCCAGCTCTTGTTTAGTCCGCTGCCAGTGCAGCGGGCTTCAGTAGTCGCGTTTTGGATGTAGGGCAGCATTACGCGGAGATAGTAGCTGATTTATTGAGGGACACTTATCAGGGCTGCTCGCTCCGCTCCTGAGGAGTTGCAGGATTCGGGCGCATTGAGCTTTCAGGAATTTCTTAGGTTTAGCGTTCCTTTATCCTTTCAGCAAGTATTCGCTGAGCATCTCCTACGTCCCACGACATGTTCTAGGCGATGGGGATTCGGCCTAAAACAGACACAAATCCCTTTGTTCTTGAAGTCTGCCTTCTACTGATGCTTGGAAAAAAAGTCTCAGGCGCTTCGTTCCCTGGTGTCTTCAGAAGTTCCCTGCCAACTCTCATGCCCCGGGGCCGCCACCCCAGGAAACCTAAGCCATCCTGGAAAGGAAGGGGCAGGTGTGTGACAGGTTTCTATGAAAAATCTCGAGGAAGATTCTTTCCACTTCCCTGTGATCCACTTCACAGCTTGAACTTAGACATTGATGAAAAATAGTGCAACATCAAAGATCTTAAACTATTTTCCTTCATTCTTTCTTGGTTTTAAAAATGGTTGTAGCTTATGAATGAAAGTTGCTTTAAAAGCTAGTTTTTCGTAGCATTTAAATATATACTAAAAAAGAAAGTATGGCTGTTTGCACTCGCTTATATATTTTAATATTGTAAAATGTGGGGTGTGCTAGTTTTGCAAGGAAAAGAAGGTGCATGTTTACGACCAGTCTGATAGGGAAGGAGTAGAAAGCCCCTTAAAAAGAGCCTTGGTGACACAATGATGCAGTTCTTAGCTGCTAACAGATGGGCGGCCAGTGGCTTCAGGCAAGGCAAGACCTGGCTGTCTGCTTCATAAAGATGACAGCTTGGGTCCCTGTGAGTTAATTGCAACTTGATGACACCCAACGACAGAGAGCCACTGTTTGTATAAGACTGGGGGCACAATTTCATGTGATACTTTTAACAGCTGAGGGAAGTAGGGCTGATGGTATTCTCATTTCCACAGTCTGGGTGGAAATGTTTAAGTTATTAACTTGTATACAATCCATGAGTGTTATTTCAATCAGATTTCCAAAGATACATCGGGAGCAAAAACTAGAGAGCTGGGCTTTTAAGGATGCATAGGAGTTGGGGAGTAGAGGGATGACGGGATAAACTCGTACGCCGGGTTGCATACCTTGAATTTGAAAAGTGAAATTCTCCTTCTCTCAGCTTTAGTAACCCTGACTCCTTTCTGTTGCTAAATATGCTTGCAGAGTGCTCAGGGGATCCTGATCTATTTCTTAAAAGATGTGTATGTTTCTAAGATGTCTGTCTTTCCAGGATTCTTTCCAGGAACTCTGTGTTTTGATCTGACCTATTTTGTTTTCCAGGATCCCAAGATGGCTGGGCGAAAACTCGCTCTAAAAACCATTGACTGGGTGGCTTTTGGGGAGATAATACCCCGAAACCAAAAAACTATTGCTAACTCCCTGAAATCCTGGAATGAGATCCTCACTTCCAGGTCAGTACCTTCGGGAGAGGGACCCTTGTACCTGCCACTGACTTTGGAAACAAAACAGTATTTTGGAATTAGATATGAATTTCTGATACTCTTCTGACAGGAAGTATAAAGAAATCCAAATAAAAGTCTTTTTTTTTTTTTTTCCTGCATTTCCATGATCTCCTTCCCAGAGAAAAGTGGGATGACAGCTCTAGGCCATAGGAACAAGAAAAAAGAAATTGTTGTGTGAATGTCCTGTTGCTTACGGAATGGAATGATCCTAAGTTTTGCTTTTCCATGTGGGCAGGTTGGCTACTCTGCCTGAGGCACCGCCAGCTATCGACTGGGCTTACTACAAGGCCAATGTGGCCAAGGCTGGCTTAGTGGATGACTTTGAAAAGAAGGTGAGACTTCAGACAACCCGAGCAGGGATCTTGTAACGGGACCTGTGCATGGGGAAGAGGGTGATCAGTAATTCACCTACGGGATGACAACGCGGAGAGGACGGGGGCTTCGTACTGAGCACCTGAAGGAAACTTGCGAAAAAGGAGCAGGGCCACAGCTTGGAATGGGAGATGGTCTTTTTTTTGTTGTTTTTTTTTTTTAATTTTTTATTCTGATTTGGGTGAAAGTTTACAGAGCAAATTCATTTTCCATATAGCAGTTCACATATACTTTGTCTCCTGACATGGACTACAATTTCCCACAATGCAACAGCAACAGCTCCTCTCCCACTGTCTCCCGATAGCTACCTCTTCCCTATGTCCTTCCCTCCCACGCACTCCTGCCCCCTGAGCTGTCTCCGAAGGATAGATTTAAGTGGCAAATAAGTGCAGAGAATTCAGGATCTGTTCATTCAGCAGGTTTATCATCCACAGAAACAGTACCAAAGGGCTGCCAGGTTACGTTTCTGAGCAGCTCTTCCTGAAATCCTTCGTAGCCTCCCTTTGAAACAAACATCTTTTTTGCCCTTTTGTACTGTTACCCTCCTTTCTCTGCTCTTTTTTGCTCTCCCTGATAGCTCTAATTTCTTACCCCCAATCAACCATACGAGATCAGAAGGGCAGCATTTGCCCAAGGATGAGACTTGGAAGGTGGGAAGGGATAGGAAAGAAGGATGAGGGGAAATGGTAAACACAAGGAGGAAGTGGGAGCAGTACTGTTAACGTGGTGGGGGTCGCAATCAGTGTCCCAAGACAAAATACACGAATGGTTGAACAGGTAGCCAATTTGCTGTGCAAAATTTCAGCCAAATCACAGTTAAAGGAAAAGCCCTGTGGTGTCCCTGAGGTCACCTTGTAGCTAAATAACAGATTGGCTCACAGAACAATATCACCCATAAGTACTAGGGTCCTTTATTATTATTATTATTGTGGGTGTGTGTGAGAGGGAGGTTTGAGGGAAAGTTTACAGAGCACACTCATTTTCCATATAGCGGTTCATAATGCATTTTGTTTCATGACGTTGACTGCAGTTCCCCACAATTTACAGCTCTCGTCCCACTCCCTCCCTGACGTTACCTCTTCCCTGTGTCCTTCCCTCCCATGCACTGCTGCCCCTTGATCTGGCTCCCTGTGCAAACACTGCCCTTCTGTTCTTCTGTGATTAATCACTCCAAGGAGTGTACTGTGCTTCTTTAGAAAATTCACATCATGTTGTTATGTGCTGTCGAGTCAGACCGGACTCATAGCGACCCCTCCTTGGGTTGCCAAGGTAGTATCACTACGGAAGTAGATTATCCAACCTTCCTTCCGAGGAGTGGCTGCTAGGTTTGAACCGCCAGCCTTCTGGTTAGCGTCACATGCCTTAGGCACTATGCTACCATCATACCAAGTGGGAAGCAATTAGTTGAAAATAAAGATGAAATGTAAAGGTGTAGGGAAACTGGATTAATGGAAACAGAACAACCAGAATGGAAATAATGAGAAAGGCCACACATTATGAAGACTATAACCATTGTCGTAGAACAACTTGTAGAAACTGTTGATTGGGAACCTAAACTGCTGTGGAAACCTTCACCGAAAACACACTCACACACACTCAAAATTCTCATCCATTTATCCTCCTCTGACACTCATATCTGCCACTGTTTTGTCAATATCGTATCCAGCATTGGATACTGTTTATTCATCCAGTGGAAGGTTATCTAGGGCCTGCTCCATGCCAGGCCCCCTGCTGCAGTTCAGGGCTATAACACTGAGCTATCTTCTAGGGAGACTGTTCCCATCACGTGAACATCACTACCACCTAGCAATCCTCTAGGGTTCATTTAAAAGAAAAATCAGAATTCCTTTACAACGGCAAAGTTCTAAGAGACCATCTCACAGGTCACAAGTCCAGCTGTCATTCAGATGAAGAAACAAGTTCATCAGGATAAAAAATGATCCAGAGTCTACCGTTAGTGACAGGTCTGGGAAGGACTGAGCTCCTGTCCCTGGTCTCACATGCTTTCCATTCAGACACCCAGGCACGTCCTGGTTTCCTCTTGGGGTAGAGAATGTGTTTTCACATGAACTGTGAGGGTGAACGCTGAGCCCACGTTGGGCGTCTAGGGGTGTTGGCAACCACTCACAGTCCCTGTGTTTGCAGTTTAATGCCCTGAAGATTCCTGTGCCAGAGGATAAATTTACTGCCCTAGTGGATGCTGAAGAAAAAGACGACGTAAGTAGTCAAGGCTCTTAATTGATTCTGAAATGTTCTTAGTTCCGACAGCCTTGTATTTCTCAGCATCTAGGTTAAGGTAGAGTGAATTAAATTGAAAATTGAGCAGTTGACAGAAATTAAAAAAAAAAAAAGAATGAACTATTTATAAATGCAGCAACATGGATGAATTTCAAAATAGGCTAAGTAAAAGAAGTCAGTGAGAAAAGTATATACCTTAAGAGGCTGTTTACATAAAACTGGAGAAAATGCAACTACAGTAAAGCTTGCCAAAGCTGGAGGCTGTGTAAGGTGAAACGTGTCAGGAGGAAAACTCTAATGTCACCCACTAAAAGAGAAAAGTAACTGCACCCTGTCAAAGGCAGAAAACTTGCATGACCTGGAAAAATGAGGCAGTCCCATGGAGTTCCGGTGCCCAGGTTTCTCTGTGATCTGTGGTGACAGCACAGATCAGTGGTGGCCTGGGAAGGGGAGGGAGAGGGCTGATAAGTTGGCTGTCTTGATACTGGTGGTGGCCCCACACGTCACAGCTTATCAAATGATGTTCTTTAAAGAGGTGT